ATATATATACATATATACATATGCACACATACATACATACATACATACATACATACATACACACATATACACCATAAGGTATTTGCTCTAAAATTGTAACACTTTCAAACCCAAAATCTACATCACGTACAGGAAGAACAATGATGTATTTGCAAATCAAAGGTTGCTAAACTAGAGAATAAGGTGCAGACGAATTCTGAAGCAAGTTAGTTAATGAAACTATTTTCCCTATTCAGGCTCTTAAATGATTACATGAGGTCCATCCTCATTCTGGAAGGCTATCTACTTTATTCAAAATTCATCAGTTGGAATATTAATCTCATTCAGAAATGCTTCTGTGTCAATATAAAATTAACAATCTTAAGGCATAGCTTTAATATTAATATCCATAAAATATTCTAAGAGTTCTGGAAGTGCAGTGTGCTGCTTACTGGTGCACACCTATGATGCCACATTGTAACGAAGAGCATTTCTGTTATTCATAATGCTTCCTCATACTCTTGTGTACTAATGTCTCTCTGCAAGCCAGGAACAGGGCAATCTGGTTTCTATTACTTATTTTCTGTGCTCTGTAGCTTGTTGTTAATGAAATTTAAATAGCTGACTTCTTTTACACAACCTACTTTCTCTGAGATTCATCCACAAGGTTGTGTACGTTGATGTCACTTGTATTTGTCCTATTTGCGAATTTTCCATGATAAAATATCTGTTGTTTGTTTATATATTAATATTTAATCTATTTCAAGTTTTTAGTATGATAAAAACGTAACAGTGTTATACAATTTGGAAAAGAGATACGAGCTTTGTTTTGCTTCTTTGGGGACTGGATTCCTGTCAGTGAATTTGCTTCATCCCCAAGTTGATAATTTTAATTTCATAGCAAATTACCAGTTTTCCTAAGGGAATTCACTAGCAATGCATTTTTTTTTGGAACCTCCAACCTCATTCTTTCTTGTTTGATTTCTGATTTAGCTTTCCTTATTAATTAAATTTTATGCAACTGCATGTGTCAACAGTACATACCAAATTCTCTCCTCTACATCCCTGCCACCCTATCTACCACAGCTGCTGCCCACATCTGTCTTTGAATAATCACCTAACCTTACAAGTCATATTCCTTTTACTTGAAGATCCCTGAATGTTTAGATTGTGAACAAAAGCTTTTTTTATCTCTTCCCATCTAGAAACTTGTTATTCCTTTTTTCCTCTCTAAAGAGATTGGGTATTATGCTCTCACTAATTGTCTTATAGACATAGAGTTAAAAACATCCACTTTAGGATACTATAACACCAAAGAAAGAAAATATAAATAAGTTAGTAATTTCTTTCATGCACAGACGGCCAAGTCGGGAGTTTTTACCTTTGGTAGTTGTCTTTTCCCTAGTATGTCCTCAGAGATTCATCTAGGAATGAATGAGTTGTGTGAGTGAACAATTTGTTCTTTCTACTTATATGATATTCCACAAACTCTTTAACAACTCCCACAGTGAGAAACAGGTTGCTTCTAGATCTGTACCCCATTTTTTTTTACTGGATTATTTGTTTTCTTTATTGTCTGTATTTCAGTTTTCAAGACTTTAATCATTTCTTTCACCTATTTGATTGCTTTTATTGATTTTCTCTAAGGGATTTGTTGATTTCTTCAATTTTATTCTTTTCCTCCACTTCTTTGACTTTTTAATTTCCTCTTTAAAGGCCTCAACATTTTCCATAAAGTTATTTTTAAGTCGCTTTCTTCTGCTTCAATTGAGTTGGGATGTTCAAGTCTTGCTGTTGTAGGGCCATTAATTTTTGGTGGTGCTGTATTTTTTGTGTTGTTGAGTGTGCTTTTACCTTGTTGCCTATTAATTTTTCCTCCAATTAGTGTAGCTGGGGTTGTGTCACTGGTGATTACTCCTCCAAATGCCTGTGGATCCAAGGCTCAGATGGTAGCTCCTCGTGGAGGAGTCAGGACCATGGTTTTGGTCACACCAGAGGTAGCTCAGTGCTCCTGGGGGTTGCTGGGCACTCCTGTCTGTTCCTGCAGAGGTCAGGTGGTGCCTGCCTGCTCCTGCAGAGGTCAAGGCAGGCCTGCCTCTTAAGTTAATTTTTATAAATAAATAAATAAATATTAAAAAATATATTTCCCTACACCTTCAACCTTATTTCCTAAAGCAAGTCACATTAAAATCTGAGGTGATTTTCTTAAACAAAATCTTCTTTTACTTTTTAAAATCGACTTATTTTATGTGTATGAGCATTTAGCATGCATGCCTATTTGTGCACCATGTGTGTGCCTGGTGACCGCACAGGTAAGAAAAGCAGTAAGAAAATAGCCCCTGAACTGGGCTTACAAATGGCTGTGAGCATCACAAGGATGCCAGGAATTGAACCGAGGTACTTTTCAAGAACACCAAGTTCTACTAACACCTGAGTCATCTCTCTAGTCCATAGCAAAATATTTAGCTTGAAGATTTCTAGAGATTTTGAAGCAGGAAAAATAATGAACTAATCTAGTATATATGAAAATAAATAGAAAGCAGAATTCTGTATTTGCTAACAGAGTTTTTTTTGTGTGTGTGTGTGTATCTGTGCTTCAGTGTCAGAAGACGGCCAAAGGAATGATGCTTGATGAATAATGCCTTGGGGAACTATGAGAGAGGCTCCAAGAAAAAGGAAAAGGACATTTTTTTACATAAAACATATTTATTTTATTTATTTATTTTATATCCCAACTGCAGACTCCCCTCCCTACTCTCCACTCATTTTCTCTCCCCAGCCCCCCTCAACCCTAACCTCAATCAACCTTTCTTCCATATTCATTCAGAAGAGGCAGGACTCTCATGAGCATCGGCAAAGCATGGCCTATCAAGCTGCTATAAGACAAACACCCGTATTCAGTCTGGGCAAGGTAATAGAGCACGGGGATTTGACTGGTTCCCAAGAACCAACCGGAGCACCAGGGACAGTCCCTGTTTCCACTGCCAGGAGTCCTATAAATAGACCAAGTTACACAACTATCACATATATGCAGAGGGCCTAGGTCAGTCCCATGCAGGCCCCCAGGTGGGTTGGAACTGACTCCAAGAGTTCCCATGAGACAGACTAGCCATTCCTGTTTATTTTTTTTTTCTGCCATGTTGCTGACCCCCCTGGCTCCTATAATTCCTCCTCCCTGTCCTCAACAGACTTGGCCCAATGTTTGGCCAAGGGTCTCTGTATCTGCCGCCATCAGTCACTGGGTGAAGGCTCTCCAATGACAACTGAAGTAGTCATCGCAGTGGATGGCCAGTTCTAGCTATGTATCCATTGCTGCCAGGAGTTGTGGCTGGAGCCATCCATGTAGCCTCCTAGAAGTTTCCCTTGCATCAGACTTCTGACCCAATAAAGCCACACTTTCCAGTTATCTCTGTCAGTATTCCCCCCCTCCATGCACTCCCCAACCCAATCCCTCGAGTTCCCATTGGTATTAAGAGATATTAATGACTGGTGATTATTAATTCCTGTTTTTTTTTCTTTTGTTGTTGTTGCTCGTGGTGGAATAGGTATTGGTGTATGTTTGTGTGTCTTTCCCTCTGTTGTGAGATTGTCTATCGCCTGTATTTTCATGGGCATAATTAACTTCTATGAGTTGGATTTTTTTTACAGTACATTCCGTAGAGCTAGGTTTGTGGATAGATACTAAATTTGGCTTTGTCATGAAATATCTTGTTTTCTCCATTAATGGTGACTGAAAACGTTGCTGGGTATAGTAGTCTGGGCTGGCTTCCATGGTCTCTTAGGATCTGCAAGGAATCTGTCCTGGCTCTTCTGGAATTTAAAGTCTCCTTTGAGAAGTCAGGTGCAATTTTGATAGGTCTGGCAAAGAGCCTTTTAACTCAGGTACATTTTGTTCCCTGAATTGTTCCTGAACTTCATTTCCTGCCTTCTGTGACAAAAAATTTACAATCAATTCATAAGACATGTTTACTCTTTTTGGATGCCAGAACATGGTTCTGTAATTCAATCTGATGAAAGGATATGCTGAATGCTGTTCTTTGAATCTGGATATGGCCTTTTGCCTTGTTTTCATGCTTCCCAGATACAATCTATAGTATGTGCCAGGCAATTGTGTTTTAGTTGGTCTGTCCTTAGAAAGTTCTGGGAAACGGCTGCTCTGTGAATATTTAGTATGTGCTTATTGGCATTTATTTACATGTTTTTCTGATCATGTTTTTCCATAATCAAACCAAGTTCCTTAGATCATTGCTTCTTTGTGACATTCATGTATAAAAGTACACTGAGACTGATGGAAAGTTTTCAGCAGCATAGTTTTTCAAATGTCAGGTCTCGGACAAATCTTTGTAAGTTGACAAATGTCTAAACTTCAGCCCATGGGGAGGATGTGTGCAAATCAGTCACCAGGGCTACCATCTAGGCTCAGACACATGGTTCCTCTTAGGCTGCTTTCCTTCTTCCTGCTTAGTGAATCTTACTAAATAAATGCCCTTGGTAGTTTTAACTGTGTGTGTTACAAGTGAGCCATAAATTACGAGTCATTTCAACATGGCCCCGAAAACAGTCCTCTCTGGGCATCAAGAAATGAAAGAACTAATTGTATTGTACTCACAGGTCCTATAGACAGAATGAAAGTACTTCAGACCTAGGAACATGTAGGGAGGGCTGCCAAGAGCCCAACTCCAGCAAGCAGCTGGTGATGGGAGAAGGGTGAGAAAGAGAGATGAGAGAGTGGTGCTCTGCCCCTCTGGAGAGCACGGCTAAAGCTGGGGAGAGTTTAGCAGATACAGGAAGATGTGTGGCTATCTCCCTGAAACAGTTGTCTCTAGTTCACAGTCAGTGAAATAAAAAAAAAAAAGTCTGAGAAGAGCTTCACCTTAAAAAGGTGACAAGCCTTATCACAGTGTTCTGTATAAGTACCCATTTTTTGGGGGGGGGGGCGGTGCTGAGATTTCAGGAGAGCATGAATTAACAACATTTATAATATGTCATTGCTTTTCTCTTTTCTTTACTGCACTAAAGAGTATCTCAGATACATCATCTCAGGCGAGGTATTTTATTTTTTTTTAATTTTTGTCCAAAGTCTTGGCATTTCAAAAGTGATAGAAAGCTCAAACAACCACGTCATTAGGAAATAATGCAATACAAAGTAGCTGCTGGTCTTCCAAGGCACTCCTTCTTATCTGTGACCATGCTTCTGCCTTCACAAACAGACTGTCTTGGAGAGACAGAGGCACTACCATTCTCAGGAACAGCAATCATCTTCAGTCACATATACTAGCTGATTGCTCCTCTGCTCAGCGGCATTGTTTTCACTTTCATTCTGAGAGAAAGCAGAAGACAAGATTTTTGAACAGAAATCAAGGACGATTTTTTTTTTTATTGTGAGTATTGGATGTAGGTAAGAAGATCGGTTCTTCCTACCCTAAGAAGGTTTGCATTTCCATCCCTATACATGCTCCCATTTTGTTTAATCTACTTATCAGCTACCTGGGAACTTTATTCCTGACTTCTGTCCTGCACTGGGTAACATCAATAAGTTTCTCTAAGCAAAGCAAGTGGTCCAAGATTGTAATTTCTTGAAGGACAAAAGGTACAACTTGAAGAGATGTGGTTGATCGGTAGTTAGAATTAACCAGACTAGCTTAATATAAAAGATTTGGCTTTAATAAATGGAAGAAAGGAAACTTACAAAGCCAGGGTTCCAGAGATCCAGGAGCGCAGGGAACAAAAAGGGAAGAGGCAAGCACACCTGGATGTTTTATCTGTTTTTCTGTGGCCCCAGGGAGATACACCCTAAAAGGAATGTGATTGGCTGAAGTTCTCTATCAACAACTAGTAGTAAGTTTTGCTCAGTGTCTTGGACAGCATCATGGATGAAAAGTTTTTCCTTGATTCCTACTTATTCAGAGTAAATAGTAGCAAATAAACTATCAGAAATAACTCCTTTATTGCAGTATACCAAACTATCAGTGCCTATTCTACTGGATATCACTCAGAACAAACAATGAATTTAAACCAGATCGCCACCTTCATGTATTTAATATTAACATAGTGTGTAAGGGTGTCAGAGACAAGACTATGAACATCAAATAGCTTTATCCAATATTTATTAAACATATTGTGTTGAGATTTCCATGGGCTTATTTAGCTATCAAACTGCTCTAAAACAATATTTATACTATTTTAAAATCCAAAGCCCAATAAAAAAGAAATCCAAGCACAACACTTTTCACAAAAGCCTTACATATAAAATGTTATGCCCTAGCATCTGATCCATTTGAAATGAAGACGGAGAGCTTCCACTTCCTATGCTTTTCTATTTATGTCTTGACTCAAATATGAAAAACAAGCTTCTTATGTTTAACACAGCAATTCCTATTAGTAAGCTGTCAATCTTAGTTGGAAAAAAGTCTCAGTAAGATCAATTTCTCTAGTCAAAAATAATTGCAAGATTGCGGAAATGACCTTGCTGTGACTTGTGTTTGAAGTATCCCCCAAAGCCTGATATCTTAAGGGCTTGGTTGCAGTTGAAAGGAACTGGGAAATGTTGATTTCTGATATCTCTGAGTTAATCGAGAAATTAATCTCTTGATGGACTCACAATCCAGAAGTAATGGGACTGAAAAATGGGGCCTTGGAGAAAGTGAATGTTTGTCTTTAATTGTATATCTTGATCCCAAGTTCTTCCTCTGTTAGTCTCTTTCTTACTGTTCACCATAAGATGTGTCATTCTGCTTGATCATCCTCTTCAAGGACCTAGAAGCAAGAGAACTAGAATTACTACAGCTGTGAGTCAAAATCAATTTTTACTCATTTATGTTAATTTGGAAAATTTGTCACATTGATGAAAATGATCACATCACTAATGGAACTGATCTTCCTCTTTACATTTTTTTGTTACATTAAAGAATTTTCAATACCCATCTTCTTAATTACCTCATAATATATATATATATATNACTCACATACATTTTAGTCAAGACCTGGAATGACACTTGTCAATCAAACATCAAATTCATTGGAAGGGTTGTTACCACAGAGATATCTCATCACTACTCTAGAAGTTCTGATCTAGTAGTTGTTACATGGCCTGGCAACTTGCATCCTTGACATGTTCCCTAGTGGTAATATTTTTTGCTGGTGCAGGAATATCCTTAGAAATCATAGACCAAGGGAATGCCTGTGTTTAAAAAAATTGTCAGTAATGTTTTCTCTGCTTAAAATTTAGAGTTGAGAAGTGTTACCAACAATTCGGTAACTATCTATGGATTTGGTGTTTGGTTGCCATGGTGTAGATATATTTACATATATCTACATGTAAATATAGAAACTTTAAAAATAAAATGAAATAAAATGGACACAATCATAGTAGAGTGCATCAAGAATATAAATTTAGGTACTGGAGTAACAGAACCATTAGCAGAGCACTGGCCATGCAAGCGAAAGGAGCTCCATTTAGACTCCCAGCACCCACTGAATAGCCGAGTTCAGTAGCCAAGACCCATAATTTAGCAATGAGGATTCAAAGACAAGGAGGATCCTGTGGGTTTCCTAGCAAGCGTGGGTAGCTGAATTGACAAGTTTCAGGTTCAGTGAGAGATCTTTTCTCAAAATGCAAAGTGGAGAGTGACATCTGACATAAAGCTCTGTAGTTCACACAAACATGGACACACATGTATATATACCAACACACACACACACACACACACACACACACATACACACACACACTGCAGATTCTGGAAAATGACTGAAGAAATCAACTCTTTTGCAATTTTGTAGTTCAAATCAATTGACATGCCTATCCACAATTCTTATGTTAGTATATGTGATCATTACTATTAGTTGTCATCTTGCCACAATCTAGAATCACCTAGAAAGTGATTCTTAATGAAGTTGTTTAGGATAAGTTGACCTGTGAGTATCTCTGTTGACTTTATAATTTTAACTGTTATGAAAAGACACAGTCTAAAACTGGGTAGCACCATTCCTTGGGTTGAGCCCTAGAGTCTAAAAGAGTAGAGAATGATAGCTGAGTGATAAACATGAATGTGTTCTTTCTATGTATGTTCATAACTCTAGATTATATATGAAAAGGTGTCCAAACATCCTGCTGTGGTCACTTCTTCACAGTAATAGACACAATAACACTCTGCATTTGTAAGTAAAACCTTTGAGCTGGTTGGTTTTATGCCAACTTGAAACAAGCTGTCATCATTTGAGAGGAGGGGACCTCTTCTTAGAAAATGCCTCCATAATATCTGGAGGGAACTCAAAGTAGGTGCAAGACATCCCACAACCACATTCTCAACACAAAGGAGATTTATGTGCCCCAGAAAGTCAAAGGATAGGGAGTAAAAGACAAAGACAGGAGATAAAGGATGAGGGAGAAGGGAAAAAGAGGGGAGGGGATAAATGTCCTAACTGGGCAAAGGACTGCTTCTGAATACAGAGAAAAAGAAGAGACCAATAGACAAAGGGCAGGTTAATTTAGGAAAGCCGAAAGTGAGCTTTCATTGTCAGACATCAATACTTTGATAGTTGGAGCTCAGTAGTCAGCCTTGGAGGAGAAAGTGGCCAAATAAGGGAATATACATTGGGTGACTAGCTTTAAAAAGGTAAGGTAACAGGTTGTGTTGTTGTTATAATTTAATTTTTTGTTAGCAAGAAAGTGGGAGTAGCAGAAGGGCAAGGCCTTGTTTGTCATGCTTGGGTCTACCAGAGTCCCTTCAAGATCAGGCTGTGGGTAGACCTATAGGCCATTTTATAAATTAGCCATAGATGGGAGAGGGTACAGCGCATTGTAAGTGGTGCCACCCTTAGGTTGGTGGTACTAGGTGCTATTAGAAGGCAGGGTGAGCAAGCAAGTAAGCATCACTCCTCCATGGCCTCTGCATCAGCTCCTACCTTCAGGTTTCTAGCCTGCTTGAGTTCCAAAGAGGATCAGATAAAACAGTGCCTTCTAGGCTTGTCAGGATGGCTGAACTCATGAAGCCACAACAGCTGTGGGTTCTAGCACAAGATCCACAAATTATCAAGCCAGTGAAGCTTAAATCACATAGGAGGAAGGTACTCAGAAACTCACACACCTGAAGAGTTATTGACAGATGTTGGATTCTTTGAGGGAAGGAGAGTCAGCATTTTTAATCGTGTCAGGTAGGTCATCCATACTCCAGTGGATGGGGAGATGAGTGTGGATCTGGCGAAAGTGAGTGTACATGTAATTCTAAAAGAATTAACTTTATGTAGGAATATAGATATAGATCTGAACTCAGTCTACTAGTTGTTTAAGGAAATATTAAAGATATAATGTACTGACATCAACACTGAAGGAAAGAAAAATTTTGGAGATTAAGGATCAAGTGCAAGCAGACTGATGATTCACACAAAGTATTGGTGTCTCTCTGTTTGGGGAAATGTGTGGTTGCAGTTGTAAAAGAGACATATGAATGCAAACAGAAGCGAGAAAATTGTAGAAATAAAGGGACTGTTTCTGCTTCTCTGATAGCTATTTAAATTAAGTGTGATCTGTGATTTAAGTAAGTGAGCTTAAGAAAGACAACTAAACAATTTATTTTATGAACTTCTTTATGAGATCCCTGGAATGAGCGTTAATCCTTTGAAGTTAATAAAATGCAGTGTATAGCATAAAACATTTGTAGACTTCAAGGACTGGTAATCAGCCATGGGACAAAGTTAGCTCAGTGCTGGAGTGAAAAACAAAGAGAGAAAAACAAACTATATTCAAATAGTCATCATATGTATGAGAGGTCAACAACTTTCATACTTTGTGTTTCAGCAGATTGTAGAAAAAAGTTTTCAGAGGATATTAATTTCTTACTTAAACTGAAGAACTTTGATGTTTAATGTCGGGATGTTTTCTGATAGTCTAATGAAATCTGAGCAAGTTACAAGATACTTGTGGAACATATTAGTCCATCTAAACTAAACTTAAAGATTCCGCTTAATGGATAATCTTACATTTGGAAATTTTAGGTCCATATTTCTAGTAATTGGGAAAAGGAAGGAGTCTCAAGACCAGAGTAGATAGAGATCTCATCCTTAAGAATAATCAGGAGGATAACACAGGCTGTAATTTTCTTGAGTCTTTTTGACCTGCAAGTGTTGGATCCAATTCTTCTAAGTCATTCAGTTCTCTGAAACTTACATGAAATTTTTAGTTTACCAAAAGGGGTAAAATTTTATATATTTTAGCATTACCATTGTTTGTAATCTGTATTAAAATCCATAAAAAGAAAAAACAGCTAAGAGGTGTCTGTAAATATTATTTCAGTATAATAATAGCATAGAAGGGGGAGAAGTCAGAATTTTTCATTTTTTATATACCTTAAATCATTTTCTTGAACCCTCAGAGCTTGCATAGACTTTAAATCTTTTTTCTTTCCACTCGATTATTTCCCAGAGACATGAGTTGTTATAATTGAAAAAAAAATCATTACAAATTATGTTCCTTTAGTGAAAAGTTACATCTGAAACCTGTTTATCCTTTAGTATGAAGCTTGATAGCAAGACAAATCTATCTGCATTTTTTTAACAAGAGACCTAGAAGATCTAGAAAAAAAGAGACCTAACATTTATATATGAAATGAATTAACAAGGTGGTTATAGCTTTTGGGGAAGGAGCTGGTAACCTACTGATGGCAAGCTGACAAAACTACAGTTAGCCTAGCCATCAACGTCATCAGAGATCCAAAAGGATAAATTATTCCCAGATAACCCCTGTATCAGTTGAAATGACAGATACTTTCTTGTTATTGAGACAGCCATCCCAGGCCTGTGTGGTCTCCATGATTCTGTTTGCTCCCAAAACAGCATCAGTCTTTGGCTCCCAGGCTCAGGAGACCTGAGAGATTTTTTTTCCTGTGCAGGATGAACTTGTGAGACCGATTTTATTTTGTCTAGGTAAAGTGGGGCAATCAACTCTCCAGTGTCCTGTTTATGTACACTTTGAGCATTGTCTGGGCAATGAGTGAGGCATTAGGGCAGTTGTTTCCAGTGGTTATCATTATCACAGTCCAAAGAGAGTTGCCATCATTCCACATCGTCTTCTTTGGAGACCCATAAGTCAATTAGGAGCTGAAGTGTCTGTCTGCCATAGTAAGTTTCTTTCATTAAACATTTTAAATGACACATTCAGCAAACTCTGAAAAGTTTTGAGAACCATAATTCATCTGAGCCACACAAACTTAGCTTGTGTTTAGTTACTTATGTTAGGCGTAAGCTCAAAAACACATTTAGTAGACCTGAGGTAAGGAGAGACTCTGTGCTAGGGTGCTTAGGTCATTGTCTTGCTGTATCCTAAGACAGGAACATCTCCATTTCTGATTTGTAGTGTTTGTTGCTCATAGCTGTGGCCCTAAGTTTTTAGTCCCTTACTTACTTACATATTTTCCATATTAATAAAGATGTCAAAATAAAATATCTTATAAATTTAAATTGCCCCATGGCCTTACAAATTTAAATATTTTTGACATCTGTTACTTAAAAGCAGTCAGGTTTTTTTTTTTCATTTAAATTTTCTGTAAAACTATAAAGTTTTCGTTTAAAGAAGTTTAAAATCTCTCAATTTTATGCTCCTGTAGTATCAAGAATAAAGTATCTTGTTTATTTCAAGAGGGAAGAGACATGGCAAAACCATAATCTACACAGGGTAAAGCCCAAGCTTCAACAGTGCAAACAATTGAATGCTCAATATCTGAGATTCATCATAGTCTTTTGGGCTTGGATCACCAACC